CGTTACCCGGCCCGGGAACTGCAGTGAGGATAAGCCTGTCAAACTGCCCTCTCAGCCGGGCGCCGGCAGCTCAGCCTGTCATCCCAGCGACTCAGGAGGCTGAGATCTGAGGATTGCTGGTGGCTCCAGCCTGGCATCCAGCTACTCAGGAGGCTGAGATCTGAGGATCGCTGGCGGCTCACGCCTGGCATCCCAGCGACTCAGGAGGCTGAGATCTGAGGATCGCTGGCGGCTCACGCCTGGCATCCCAGCGACTCAGGAGGCTGAGATCTGAGGATCGCTGGTGGCTCCCGCCTGTCATCCCAGCGACTCAGGAGGCTGAGATCTGAGGATCGCGGTTCAAAGCCAGCCTGGGCAGGAGAGTCCATGAGACTCTTATCTCCAATGAACCACTAGAAAACCAGAAGTGGTGATATGGCTCAAGAGGTAGAGCATTCACCTTGAGCTGAAGAGGGCAGGGACAGAGCCCAGGCCCAGAGTTCAAGCCCCATGACTGACAACAACAAAAAAAGGAAAGCTAGCTCTTGCAAGTAGACTCCTAAGACCTGCAGCCATGAATGCAGTTAGCACAAAGCTTATAAAGGCAGAAATCACTTAACTGGTGTGAGGCATGAAACCTAACAGAAGTTCTACATAGGCAGAGCAAACTACCCAGGGGAACAATGCAGGACCTGGAGGGGGGGGAACGGGTGGGCGGAGGACCCGGGGCGGGGGGAGGGGGAAGGCATGGGAGGGCAGCCGAGGACTCCGAATCCCAAGGCGCATTTTGGCTGGCACCACCCAGGCTTCTTACTTGCAAGGGTCCTAGGGAGCTGCGTGGGGGACCCCGCAGGCGGCGTCCCATGCAGCCCTGCCGTCCCCTCCGGTTGTGCATCCTAGGGTGAGAACTGCATCCCTCAGGAAAGAATGCATTCAGTTTCTGAATACCATACTTCTAAGTTGCCTACACAGGCCTCAGCTTCCATGTTATCCTGCTTCAACCTCTCGAGTGCTCACAAAGCCCCCATCTTCTATTAACATCCACTAAGATGCCAAGATGGAGTTACTTAGATCCAGAATCCATATCTCAGGGGAAAAGAGAGGCACACAAAATAGCATACAACATACACATGATCTAAGAGAAGATGAAATGGAGAAGTGTAACTCCGTGGACAGGGCAGGAGCTGGGAGCCTGGATGGGAAAGGACCTGGAGCCCAGGGCAGCAGGGGGAAAGGAGGCGCTGTTCCCGCGTCTCCCAACTGGAGCCTGGGCATGTCTGCCTCTTGGGGAGGCTGTGGCAGATCTATTGGGAGAGGAGCCCCATGCTATCGTCCTGCACAAGGATGTGTCCCTAGAGTTTAGCGTTGCCTCCCCACATCTGTGCACACGTGTGCATGCACACACGCACAACCCCCACCAGTCTGTGATGGCAAAGCCACCTCTGGGTTTGGCACTGGCTGCACGGACAGAGGCCCTTTGCTAAGCGTGTGGAGATGCCAGCACTGAGGACAAGGCAGCTTTGTGAGGGCTTGTGTGGGCCTGGGGACCTTTACCCAGACAGGGCCTTGAGGGCGTGGGTCTCTGCCTGCTGCTGCCCAGGGCAGGGTGGGGCAGGGCTTGCGTGGGCCTGGGGACAGATACCCGGACAGGGCCCATGAGGGCTTGGGTCTCTGCCTGCTGCTGCCCAGGGCGGGGCAGGGCAGGGTGGGGCTTGTGTGGCAAGGCAGGATGGAGACAAGGCTCACATTTACCTCGGCCATGTAAACAGACAGTGCTCAAGATGGCGGAATTCACAGCCTGAGGTGGCACCAGCTCCCAACCTGCCTCAGATCTCAGGACAGAGGGACAGGGGCGAGCAGGGCCCGCTTCCCTAGCTCCCCAAGCTCCTTTGGCCCTGTGAGGATGACAAAGTTGCCATAGTCCCTGGCCATCGGGGTGAAAAGAACACAGGCCACGAGGGACCGGAATAAGTTAAACACCACAGGCATCCGGCCCGCAGTCAGAAAGCCAAGAAGGCCAGGACAGGTGGCTGCCCACCGGAGACTCCCGAGACCCCACCACAGCGCTGAAACCACCCAGGACTCTGTGGCCTTGCTTTCCTGCTGTCTGGGCTTGGCTTGCTACTTACTGTCCTAGGCTGGACCAGAGGAGCTCCCCTTCATCCTCCTCCTCCTCCTTCTCCTCGCTCCCTTCCAACACCAGCACTTGGATTCGAATTTGCTCACTTACTCGAGAGGCCGCCAGTGACTGTGACTGTCCTAGAACCCCGGAAGAGCTGGGACTGATCCTGTCCTAGGCAGCGAGGCAGAGGGGACGTGAGAAGGGAGGGATAGTTGTCACAAACCTTTGTCTCTCTTTGCACGGGTGGTCCTGAGTTCCGGAGGCTTGCTGGCTTAACTTCCAAACCCAGAGCTTACAGCGTGGCCCTTGAGAACTAGAGGCTTGGGGCCCCAAGCCCGCAGAGCAGGAGGCTGACTGCCGCAGGCGTCCACAGCCAACGCCCAACAGCTGAGGTAGAGCGCCTGCGCTCTGAGTGTCACCCGCCCGTCTCTTCCCCGGGCCAGCTCTCTCCAGCTCTAGACGGAAGCTCGTGGCCCCCGGCTCTTCACAGCGTCTCGTCTGCCCGGCGCTGCTGGCATCCCTCACAGCTGCCTGCCGCTCCTTCGGATCCACTCAGCTGTTGCTAGGATTACATCTCTGCGCCTTGGTGTCAGGGCTCCCTCGGGGGCTCTCAGCCACTTCGACTGCTCCCAGACCCTTCGTGTCCTCACTGGACACAGGTGTCGGGGCTGGAAGCAGCAGGTCTTGTCTAGTTTTTGTGCAACCATCCCAGTGTGCTTCGCTTGTGATGAAGACCACAAGCGGGCCAACAGGTCACTCAGAAGCCTCACAGCCTCAGACGGCAGCAGGCAGAGCAGACCGCTGGCTAACCGGAGGCAAGCACGCTGCTTACACTGCTAGAAAAGGGGCAGCGCTTCTGTGGTCAGCTTGAAATTCCTACCATTTTCACCCATCACTGGCCGAGGCAGGACACGTGGAGGAAAATGGGGCCTGGTGAAGGCCATTCAGGAACATGGTGTTTAGAAACAAAGAAGCACCATCTTTGCTTCGGAGAGTCTCCCACAAGCACTCCTTCCTGAGATGCACCCCAAGAATTAACATTTGTCTGGCAGAAGGTATGCCTTCCCAAGAGAAAGGCTTCCCCCAGAATGCAAACACCCAGAATGGTAAACAAGAGCCAGAAACTTGGAAAATGTAGTAACACCAAGAGTGACTGAGCGAAGATAAACTCTTCTCTTTCGTCTTTGAGTCAGACTCTGCCTTTGCAAGGGCTGTGTATCTCTCCTTTAGGGCCCCCACCCCCACACCTCTCTGCTGGTCTGCGCAGCCAAGTTTTCACACCACTGTGACTTGTCCAGAAATCCTTACACTGTGATGGAGGTCAAGGACTCTGAGTGGAGTCCCTACCTTTAGAGGGAAACGTCTCAAACCCTCACCGCCTCAGGAAGAACCAATCACAGGCCTCAAGCCTTGCAGGGCACCAATCACAGCTTGGGGAGCCCTCAGCGCCCTTTCCCGGCCAGTGCAGGCTGTCTGCAGCACTCATGGGGGGGGGGGGCCAGCAGCTGATGGTGCAGTGCTCCCGGCGGTGCAGAGCTCCTGGCGGCTGGAGTATAGTTGCGTGGAGGCTCAGAGCAGCCAGCAGGCCAGGCTATCAGACTGGCTGAGAGCAGCCAAGCACAAAAGAGATGGTCTGACAGCTGTTGGTCAAACAGTCAAATCTGCCTGGTCCCCAGCAGCTTAGCTCACTTGAAAGAAAAGTAAAAGTAGAAAGGCACAATAATGATCTAGAATCAGGATTAGCAATATTAATGGTGATTAACTCCTAGTGAGTCTCTGACCAGTCTCAGAAAGCCTTTTTAATTTTGTTTTATTGTAATGGTGACGTACAGAGGGCCACAGTTCCGAGGTAATGAGTACATTTCTTGTTGAACGTTGTTACCTCCCCCTCAGGAAGATGTTTTGCCTTCAGTTCTGGAAAGATGGGAACGGGATAGGTGAGGAAAGACCTTGGAAATTCCCCAGCACTTAGAAACACGTGGCTCTAGTCGCACTGGTGGCCTACGCATGGCACCGGACTATTTTGTCTTGTGCAGGAATTTTTTTTCATAATTCAGCTTCATTGAAGCACTATTATGCCAGCACTGGGGCTTGAACCCAGGGCCTGGGCGCTGTCCCTGAGCTCTTGTGATCATGGCTAGGGCTCTCCCACTTGAGCCATACTACTTGAGCTTCACTTCTAGCCTTTTCTACTTAAGATTTTTTTTTTTTGCCAGTCCTGGGGCAAGGCTTGGGCACTGTCCCTGACTGAGCTCCTTTTGCTCAAGACAAGTGCTCTACCACGTGAGCCACAGCGCCACTTGTTTTTTTCTGTTTACGTGGTACTGAGGAATCGAACCCAGGGCTTCATGTGTGGGAGACAAGCACTTTACCACTAAGCCACATTTCCAGACCAAGTAAAGCATCTTGTGGACTTCTCTACCCAGGCTGGCCTTGAAAACCCCCAGTGCTCAGCCTCCTGAGTAACTATGATTACAGGTGTGAGCTACTGGCACCCAGCTTGTTTGTCAGTTTGTGAGTTTGCGGAGCTTTAGGCTGACCAAACAACTACAACACAGATGGACACGGGAAGTCACGCTCTCCCACGCCACTCATCTGAATACACAATTACAGCACACAACCACGCGAAACGCGGGTTACAGAGCACCATGCACGAAGCGACCCCACACATAAAACCCAACGTGCCCGTGAGCGACACAAAGATCTAGACACGCACTTGGGTGAGGGGTGGCGGGCAGGTGGCTTCCAATCATTTTTATAGTAAAGCATTTCATCAAAGCATCACTTCCATTTAAAAAACACAAAATCACTTTCCAACCAACTTGGCACATGGTTTTCTCTCCCATCCCAACCAACTGGGCACCTGGTTTTCTCTCCCATCCCAACCAACTTGGCACCTGGTTTTCTCTCCTGTCCCAACTCAGAATACCCCGCAGGCATGTCTACGGCGCCTGCCTCCTCTGCTCTTCCAGAGCTGGGGATGGGGGGGGGGGCGCTGGGGCCGGGGGGCCCCCTCTTCCTTCCCGTACCCTGCTGCCCGCCTCCTCTGGGAGGTGCTACTTCCCTGGAAGAACCGTGCAGCCGGCAGCAGGGAGGTGACTGTAATCTGCCCCAAGGACACCAGAGGCATAGCGGGGCCCCTGCACGGCCCTGTGCCTCCCAGGGTCCTCTGAGCATCTTTTCCCCAGTGTGTGTCCCGCGGGGCAGTGTCTGGCACCAGACCACAGGGACGGAACTTTGTGGAGGCTCCTCCCACACCAGCTGCCCCTCGAAGGCCCAACTAGGCCTGCAGCAGGGTGGCGGTGTGCTCGGTGGCGGTGCGCTCGGGGTCCGGGTCTGAGTCCTCGCAGATGTCATAGGGCTCCAGTCCCAGGTCCTGCATCAGGTATTTCTCTGAGAAAAGCAACAACGAGAACTCCATGTGCAAGGTTTCCTAGCACTGAGAGCAGCAGGGGGGCAACTCTGTGGGTGGCATGGGGCAGCTGGGGCCCTGGGGGGCTGGGGTCACCCTGGCAGACCGCTAACGCTGGTGGGCTCCACTGTAAGCTGGGCAGGCTCTCCCGAGGTGAATCTGCCTGCGGGGCACCTGTGGGTGCCTGCGGACGCTTCCCCTACAGCTGGGCCTCCGCAGGCCCCTCCTGCCCGTCAGCACTGAAGCCAGCTCCACTAAGAACATGAGAGTTCCATGGATCGTCATGGCTCTGCCAGAAATCAGAGCAGGGCCCCCACTGGGGAGCAGCAGGAAGGAGCTTTCTAGAGTGATAAACACTGTCCCCGGGTTGACAAATGATGGAAACACTGTATCCCGATTGGTGATTAGTGGAAACATTGTATCCAGTCAGAAGGATGTATAGGCAGGACACCTGAACTCTTCGCTTCTTTGGGTTTAAACATCACCTCAAACATACATCTGAAACATAAAATATAAGCCTGGCTCCAGTGGCTCACGCCTGTCATCCTAGCTACTCAGGAGGCTGAGATCTGAGGATCGTGGTTCAAAGCCAGCCCAGGCAGGGAAGTTTGTGAGACTCTTCTCTCCAATGAACCACTGGAAAACCAGAAGTGGTGCTGTGGCTCAAGTGATAGAGCGCTAGCCTTGAGCTGAAGAGCTGAGGGACAGCACCCAGGCCCAGAATTCAAGCCCCACGACAGACATAAATAAATAAAATATAAAAGTGCCCCAAAAGTCTCAGAGGCAGCCTGCCAGGGCCTCCCACTCCCTGTGGCTGGGCCAGGACCTGTGGGCAGCTGTGGCTGCAGCTGACCCACCTCCAATCCCGCCCTGCGCTGGCATGATGGCATCAGACCAAGGTGCCCTTCCAGGGACTCGGGTGTGGTGCCACCCCCGGCCCCAGGGCTCTGGCTCTTGCGACCCTGTCCGGCTCTGTCCTGACCACCTGGGGTGTGGACACACGTGAGAACACACTCCCCCCTGTCCCCCCACACCCACCTGCCTCCTCCAGGGTGGAGAAGCACTGGAAGCCCTTCAGGTCAGCGGCCAGCAGGGCGCGGAGCACGGGCACCTGCAGGGCAGACGTGCTTGGATGCAGGGCGGGGTTCTGCTGTGGGCGGGCGGCAGGGGCCTGGTACTCCCCAGGCATGTGCTGGCGAGGTGCTGCTTCACCTCTGCACGGGGGGGGGGGGGGGGAGGGCAGGGCTCTGCTGTGGGCAGGCGGCAGGGTTCTGCTGTGAGGGGCAGGAGGCGGGGTTCTGCCGTGGGCGGGCGGCAGGGGCCTTGTGCTCCCCAGGCATGTGCTGGCGAGGTGCTGCTTCACCTCTGCACGGGGGGTGGGGGGGCGGCTGGGGGGGGCAGGGAGGGCAGGGGACGGCTATCTGAAAGCAGATTCCACACCAACAGGCTGCGGAGACCAAGACCAGTGCTCCACAAACAGAGTAAGTCCCACAGCGCAGCCCGGGACTGGGTGCCCCTGAACATGCCCCTGCACGAGGTAGCAAACGGGTCAGCCTGGACTCCCGGGAGAGCGAGGCCACGTCCGTGACCCCTCAGGGCCATTTTACCCACGAGGGGGTGAAGGCCAGCGGGGTCAGGAGCCCCAGCAGAGCCCCGCCAGTGAGGGCCGTGGGCTGTTGCTGGCGAGGCCCAGGGGCCCAGACGTCCCATCAGCCCCGGCACCGCCTTGCTCACCCGCAGGCCGACAAACACCAGGCGCACGCCGTGCTTGTGGAAGTCCTCCAGGAGCTGGCCCAGCCCCAGCACCACGGTGTAGTCGACGCTGCAGACGTGGCTGCACGCCAGGATCGCGCTGCGAGGGGGACACACTGGGGAGACAGCCCAGGCCCCCACGGTCACGCCACGCTGCAGCTCGGCAGGCAGGGCAGGCCTGAAATGGCCCCCATGGCTCCTGAGAGCCAGCTGTGGACAGGACGGCCACTGCTGACGCCGGGCAGCTGGGGCTGGGCGCCCACGGGACAGCGGGCGAGAGTGCTGTCCACACACCGAGGCTGGAGCCCGGGCTGGGGTGCAGGAAGCGCCCCCCCTGCCCGCTGGCCTAAGCCCGCCCCAGGTGGCCCCGTACCTTCCAGAGCCGGCCTCGCGATGGCCTCGCGCAGGGCCTCAACCGCGGGGAAGTGCAACCCGCTGGCCGGCTGCAGGACCAGCACCGGCCCCTCACGCACCTGGAGAGGGAGGCCGTGAATCCCGGAGGGTCCCCGCTCCCCCCAGCACAGCACCGCCTCAGGCAGGTTTTGTTCTAGAAAATACTCTCCAGCCCAAGCTGGGAGCGCCGGAGGGAAGGGGCCAGGGGCACCCCCAGTCACTTTCAGCCATGCGAAGCCCACAGCCTCCCACAGCCTCCTGGTGAACTCAGGCCCCCCACTCCCTCACCCCCCCCCCCAGGCGCACCTGGGTCTCGGGCCTGGCTGCGGAGTGCAGGAGCATCAGCAGGGACACCAGCGCGCCGGCCAGGATGCCGTACTGGACTTCCCAGAAGCTCAGCAGGAAGGTCACGCCGAGGGGCAGCAGGTCCAGCCCTAGGGCAGGGCCAGCTCAGCGGGTCTCTCCCTGCCCAAACCCCTGCTGCACCTGGCACGCCCTGCGGCCAGCCGGCCCAGGCCAAGCACCCCAGGGACGGCGGCTGTGGCTGCAGCTGGTGCCCAGGGGACCTTGGCCGGTCTGGGTGAGAGGAGGCCCAGAAGAGGGGACAGTTTGGTAAGATGTGGGCAGGTGACCCCCCAGAGCCCAGGCAGGACTCCCGGCAGAGGTGTCCGGGGGACAAAGTGCCAGGACTGGCTCCACCCTACACTCAACCCCACCTGTCCCACACGGCCCAGGCCTCAGTTTCCCCCAGGAACCTCTACTATATCCCCCACACACATATTAATACTATTTGTATGTATGAACTGGTGCTGGGGCTTGAACTCAGGGCCCAGGCATTGTCAGTTAGCTTTCTACTCTACCACTTGGCCAGGCTTCCACTTCTGGCTTTTTTTGCTGGTTAAATGGAGGTATGAACCTCACACTTTTCTGTATGGACTGGATTTGAACCTAGATCCTCAGGTATCAGCCTCCTCAGTAGCTAGGATTACAGGTGTGAGCCACTGGTGTAGGTCATACGGATTACACCCCCCACCCCGCCTGCCCTCACCTCCCTGCTGCCCCCAACCCCCACCCCGAAGTCCTGCCCTCAACTCCCGGCTCTGCCCCGGCCGGCCGTTCACAGACACCCTGCCCCAGCACTCCTTGGCTGTGAATACAAACTCCTTTTTTTGGAAAGTGTCATCTCCAGTATGGGGCTTGAATTCAGGTCCTGGGCATAGTTCCCAAGCTTTTTGCTAGTGCTCTGCTAGTTGAGCCACAGCTCCACTAGTGGCTTCAGGTGTTTACTTGGAGCTGAGCATCTCTTGATCTGCCATCTTGGATCTCAGCCTCCTGAGCAGCTAGGATTACAGGCGTGAGCCAGGTACATACATCTTTTTTTTTTTTTTTGCTGATCGTGGGCCTGAACTCTGGGCCTGGGCGCTGTCCCTCAGCTCTTCAGCTCAAGGCGAGCGCTCTACCACTTGAGCCACAGTGCCACTTCCAGCCTTTTCTGCTTATGTGGTGCTGAGGAATCGAACCCAGGACCTCACACATGCAAGGAAGCGCTCTACTACTGAGCCACCTTCCCAGCCCCCAGGTACATACTCTTAACGCGCCAAAGTGTCCTGAAGATCTTGGTGTCGAAGAGCGGGGCCACGGCCGTGATGATGACGGCGGCCAGGGCAGACTTGGGGATGAAGGAGAACAGTGACGTCAGGTAGCTCAGGGAGAGCAGCACCAGCACACCTGGGGGGGGGGCAGTGTCACTGTGGTGCAGGGGAGCAGGGCTAACGGGGAGCACTGAGACCTTGTGGGCCTCGGAGGGCTGGCGAGGCTCCTTCCTGCACAGCAAGTGGCACAGCCGGGTGGGGGCTCGGGCCCCTCTAAGCCCTGCCAGCGGCCAGTCCCTTTAACTGTGGGTCCTCTCGCCCGGCCCATGCCCACCGCATGGGAGCAGGGGAAATGAGGCGGGGGGGGGCTCACCAGTCACCAGCCCCCCTGCTGGGGTGCACACTCCCGACTGCGCGTTCACGGCTGTCCTGGAAGGCAACGGAGAGTCTGTGAAGCCCCGTGCAGGGGACAGGCCGGGTCTCGTCCGTGACCACAGCTGACCCTCCTCCAGGCCTGGGCTGGCTGGGGGCTGAGCTCAGGCAGGAAACGGAGCTGGGGCCGTCACCTGCAGGCCTGTTCCTTTAGTTCACATCATTGGTCATTGATTAGTAAAGTTCAAATGAGAAAGCACGTCCTCTACACTGCTGCCAACTCCGACTCTTCTTCTGTGCCAATACTAGGGCTTAAACTGGCTTGGCTGTGTGTGTGTGTGCGTGCGTGTGTGCGTGCGTGTGTGTGCATGTGTGCGTGTGTGTGCATGTGTGCGTGCGTGCATGTGTGCGTGCGTGCGTGTGTGCGTGCGTGTGTGTGCATGTGTGCGTGTGTGCATGTGTGTGTGTGTGCGTGCATGTGTGTGCATGTGTGCATGTGTGTGTGTGTGCGTGCGTGTGTGTGTGCGTGTGAGCTCACACACATGTGCGCTAGTCCTGAGGCTGGGTGCTGTCCTTTATCTTTTTTGCTCAAGCTCTACCACTTGTGCCACAGCTTCAGAACTTAGCTTTTTGGTGGTTAGGTGGACATAAGAGTCTCATAGGCTTTCCTGCCTGGACTAGCTTTTAATCACAATCCTCTGATTTCAGCCTCCTGTGTAGCTAAGATCACAGGATAAGCCACTGGCACCCAGTTCTTGCTTAGCTTTTATGCCCAAGACTAGCATAGCACTCTACCACTTGAGCCACAGCTCCAGTTCTGGCTTTTTGATGGTTAACTGCTGTTAAGAATCTTATGGAGGGCTGGGAAGGTGGCTCAGTGGTAGAGCACTTGCCATGCATGCTTGAGGCCCTGGGTTCAATTCCTCAGCACCACATAAGCAAAAAGAAAAAGAAGCCGGAAGGGGCGCTGTGGCTCAAGTGGTAGAGCGCTAGCCTTGAGCTGAAGAGCTAAGGGACAGTGCCCAGGCCCAGAGTTCAGGCCCCACGACCGGACCCAAAAAAAAAAAGAATCTTATGGAAACTGGTGCCAGTGGATCATGCCTGTCATTCTAGCTACTCAGGAGGCTGAGATCTGAGGATCGCGGTTCAAAGCCAGCCCAGGCAGAACAGCCCTGTGAGATTCTTACCTCCAATTAACTACTCAAAAATCAGAAGTAGCCCTGTGGTTCAAGTGGTAGAGTGCCACCCTTAAGCATAAAGAGACTCAGGGACAGTGCCTAGGCCCTGTGTTCAAGCCCTATAACCAAAACAACAAAAACAAAGATCTCATGGACTTCCCTGCCAGGGCAGCCTTCAAGCCTCAAGCCGCAGATCTCCATCTCCTAAGTAGCTAGGATTACAGGCGTGAGCTGCAGATACCTGACCCAACCACTCTTGTTGACCCTAGGGAGGAGCTGTGGGGCCCTGGCTCCCCCGTGACCCTGATTTACCAGGGCAGAGGCCGTTCTCTTGGGAATTAACGTGGGCACCAGCGTTCTTCTGGGGCAATGTGCGCTGGGGCCTTCCTGCAGAGGCCAGCTCAGTCCCGCTGTCCCGCCGTCCCACCCACCCAGTGGGCCGGCCCGCCCCACAGCTGAGGTTGTCAGGAGGCCGCTGGGACTCGGGCAGGGAGAACGGAGCAGCGAGGAGTGTGAAGGGGCCTGGCGTCACTCACCGCCCAAAGCTGCCTGTGACGGGGTAGGACGAGACGAGGGAGCCCAGCGTGTTGGTGAGACCTGGGGAGGAGCAGGCTTACTGGAGGTGTGGGGGTGGGGTGTGTGGGGGGCAGAGAACCGGGGTTGGGCGGGGCGGACCGGGCCAGGCCACAGCATGCCGTGTCGGCCTGCGTGCTCTCCCAGGGAAGGAGAACACAGCCCACCTTGGCCTATTCACCCAAGCTGAATTCTTTTTGTTTGGGTTGGGGGGGTCGATGGGGGGCTTGAACTCTGGGCCTGGGCG